AGGAAAACGGAAAACAGGAATAATAAAATGACAGGCTGGTTCTATTTAAATTATTTCTTAATTCTGCAGTAATCGTGTCCAGATATGGTAAGTGAAATTGAACTCAGCTTTGAAAAATGACAATTAATTAACATAGAAGCCATTACTCTTTTACATAGAGCCAGGTGGGTTTGGAAAGATTTTCCAATTCATTTTTTTCTGACAGTAAAATTAGTTTAATGATCTGAAACATTAGGAGGTTTTTATTCCTTTAACTGAGATGCAGAGAGACGATGGAGGAAAGTTCCCTAAAAACGCGATGAGTTGGAGAAATGATTAACGAGAAAAAGCAAAATTATGCTTTTCTTTTCTTTTAATTTCTTGGGGGATTTAATAGTTCATAATTTTTGAGTGCAATATAGCAGGAAAGCAGAATAAAGTTGAATTACTTTAATCTCGGAAGGATCTGTTTGCAGAGAGAGAACGAAGCGTCTGACCTGTGGCGGTCCACGCAGCGAGCGGTCAGTTTTTCCCACAGGTCACTCGCCACGTTCGCCTGCTTCCACACAGATCGGCTCACGTTCAAAATCCGTCGCCGTGGAGACACCTCTGCAGACGACAGAGAAAGGTAAATACAGCAATGAAAGCATCAACATATGAAAGCAATAAGTGTGTGGAGGAAATAGCTTTACAATGATTGGGAAGAAAAGTGTGATAGCAAAGAAAAGAGTTGGAAAAGTTTAATGAAAACAGGGCAGATGGGTAACGAGGCAAAAAAAAAAAAAAAATAAGAAATGGACGCAGGAGTGGAGAAATAATGAAACGCACTGCATTATTGATCTGAGCAGATGGTGCTGTAGAGCTGGTAAACTGGAGGTAATTGGTCCCGACCCGGACCCTGTCCCTAAACTTGGTGTGACGCCAGAGGACAGATCACTGCTAATAACAATTAATGGAGGATTTCACCTGCGAGGGCCCTAATCAAACGAACTCTGAGGGGGAAAATGAATGTGACATTTCGGCTGGCGCAGCAGTTGGCATATAGCATGAAGGGAGCAGACCTTTTCCATCGGTCAGGGTCTCCTCGGGCTCCTGGAAGGGGTGCTGAGCCAGAAAGGCCTGGGCTGACTCCAAAACCGAGTAGATGAAGGGCCCGCGAGACTTGACATCCTCCATAAACGCCTGCAGGGGGGAGGAAGAATAAAATATAAAAACAGTCTTTAAACTGAAGGACAGAAGTGGAAAATGATGAGTCGTGAAGGCGGAGAGCAACTTTTATCTTTTAATGGAACAACCTCATCAAATAGAGACTAAAATGAGTTCAATTTTAAACTAACAACCGGGCGATGATGAAAAATTACCATAAAATATTTTGAGGATCAAATTATGTGCTACATGTTGTTTTGCCAATCACAAATGGAAATAATACAGATTAAAAAATCTATTTGAATTTCCAAGCGTTTCTTGTTTAGATGCAAAAATACAAAGTCATAAAAACACAGTCAACAATTGAAGCATTACATTTTGCCGTTGTTACACATCAAATATGTTAATTAATGTTTATTTTATTGTGTTTCAAAGCAAACAAACAGCTGGGTTTTATTCTGGATTTAAAGGAACTCAGTGTTTCAGCTGTTTTGCAGTTTTCTGGAAGTTTGTTCCAGATTTGTGGGGCATACAAGCTGAATGCTGCTTCTCCTCATTTGGCTCTGGTTCTGGGAATCCAGAGCAGAACCAGAACCAGAAGACCTGAGAGGTCTGGGAGGTTGCTATGACAACAGCAGCCGATCTTTAATGTATTGTGTTGCCAAGCTGTTCAGTGATTTATAAACTAACAGCAGTATTTTAAAGTCTCTTCTCTGAGCTACAGAGAGCTTTTATAGGGACATCAGAACCTGAGTGATGTGTTCTAACTTCCTGGTTTTAGTCAGAACGCCAGCAGCAGCGTTCTGGATCTGATTGATTGTGACTAAAAATAAACACATGGATGAGTTTTTCTAGATCTTGCTGAGACATTAGTCCTTTAATCCTGGAGATGTTCTTCAGGTGATAGAAGGCCGACTTTGTAACTGTCCTTATGTGGCTCTGTAGGTTCAGGTCAGAGTCCATCATTACTCCCAAGTTTCAGGCCTGATTTTTGGTTTTTAAGTTGTAATAACTGAAGGTGTAACTCTAGATTGTTCCTCTTTAGATCCAAAGATAATAACTCCAGTTTTGTTTCAGTTCAGCTGGAGAGATTTATGTAACATCAACACATTTAACTGCTCTAAGCATCTGTTCTGTTTGCCATCATAAACAAGCACAAATATTTCCAAATTAGTACCACAAACATTTTGATTTTTATTGCAAGAAATCACAAAAAGGATCACAAAATCCTGGAGGGACTGAAAAGATCTTCAATATTATCATTTAATTTTAGGAATTCATTGATATTTTAACAGTTTGTGAACAGGCTTTACCAATACATTCTGGAACAACCAGCCCTTTAAAAGCATCTACCTTGATTTGGCTCAAACGAAAATGAGTTTGACACTTCATACTGTAGAATCACTTGAAAGGTTTTGGCGCACAATCTGTGTGTAAACAGCCACCTATCCCTAAAATGAGGTGAGTAGTAGTCGAGTGTTTCTCCCCAAACTCTAGAGACAGGTTATAAAACGGATTTGCCACTTTAATCCTGTTGTATTTCGACCAAAGCATGTCACAGTCACAGTTTATAATAGCATTAAAAAATTGTGGTTCTTCTTCCTTAAAGGAGAACCTACCCAACGCAGTAGCGCTGTCTGCTTGTGCAGAAAAGAAGAACAAATCCACAGGGAGTCTGGGTCATTTAGCCTCCCTTTACAGAGGCACCAGGTCTTGTATGCTAACAGTACTTGCTATGCAAATTACAGACAAGCAACTCAATTTGTGAGAAAACACACTCATGCCTTAACTTTCTGCTTTTCTCTTAAACCCAGAGCATCCTCTTGAGCCTAGAAGAAAGCCATTGTGTCAACTTTCTCTTTTCTTCCTCACTAATCTTTGTTCTGTATGAAACACTCACTGCAGGTGCAAGACTTAGCACCGGGGATATTCCCCCTCTTCACAGTAATTTATTTAGGCGGAGCCAGCATGTTCAATCCTCTTACGGTATAAAGAGATTTACAATTTCAGCGAGGAAAAAAAATAAAAAATCTACATCAGTAGTTTGAATTGGAAACCCCAGCAGTGACACTGTTTCCGAGGCTTTTAACAAGAGCCCGACAGGCCCTGATAACACCCGGAAAGTAGAGCTACACCGGAGCGCCGGCAAACACCAGCTGGCGCAGAGCAAACAAGCAAAAAGCGCGTGACGACGCAAAGCTGGGGCGTGAGATAAAACTCCCAATGCAACAGTCATGAAGTAAACCTGCCGTCTGTCTTTCTCCACTTCCTCCGCTGACATGTTTGCTCCAACCTCTTCGCTCTCTCCCCGTTTCTGTGTCCTCTTTTCATCCTCTCCAGCTCTCCATTCTTCCCCCCCGTCTATTTAGCTGCTTTGCTTCCCAAAAGAGGAGCTGAGCTATGGATTCTCTGAGCCAGCTGTCATGTTAAAACTTTAATTCCAGCAAAATTTCACACTCACAGGCTTCATCTTTGGTTGGAGGAACATTAAGAGTGGAGCCTTCAGATCAGATTAAGATACATTATGCATGGAATGGAGAGAAGTCAGGGGGATGAAATGGCTTCATTGACTTGGCTTAAACATGTTGATGGCATTAATTTCACTCGCTCTTGATGTTTCCTCTCAATGTGTGATGAATTTTCATCTCATTTTCCTATTTTACACAAGGCAGAGAATGCTGCACAGCTGAAACCCCTCCATAGCAGGAACACTCTCTCATCCTAACACCCAGACACACACACACACACACACACATCCATGCCACAGTCAAATACATTCCCCTCTTTCCAAACCCCCGAAAACACGCAGCGTAAACATCCCCACAAACTAATACTGTTGCACATGTGGCGGCACAGAAACGAAGTGCAGCACAGCGCAGACTCACACAGTGACTGGAGAATAAATCCACTTACGATCAATAATTCACATTTCTTAAAAAGGTTTAATTCTCCGTAGAAAACTGGGAGGCAATTTCCCTCGTTGCTTTGTTGGAAAAGTTTTAGTGCGACCAGACACTCTGGGAGCAGAGGCATCACAGATTATACACGAGAGCTGAACTGAAAATGGGACAGAGAAGAGAGGAAGAGAAAGAGAGGGTAAAGGAGGGGAAGAACGGTGGCGATCAGCAGCACTCCATGTAGTGAATTTGTGGGTTTATTCACAAAATCTCACACTTTAGACTCAAATTTATGTATTTTTCCCTGCATTTCTTCCATAACAGTCTACAGATTTGAGTAAAAAGTATTCACTTTGAACATAATCAATTAGTAATCAATGCATATCACGTGTAGATCTCACAAATAATGAATGTTAACACATGTCTAATAGCACCACTGCATTTGTTCAAAAATCTGTACATCTTGAACATATCAAATAAGAAATGGGGCAACCTAAAAAATGTTGCATTTCCATTACAAATGTGTGCAAAAGTTTGCAGATATTCTGCTAATGTCGAAAAACTATTTCACAATTGTGAAAATTGGCCATAGCCCTTTCCTGCATGAGTTATGATCCTTTATTTTTTTTCCAAAGTGATTGTTTCTAGGATTTTTTTTTCCTAGGTGATCAGTTGTAATTTTCTCCAAACACAAAATTGTTATCTGGAAAATACATCCGTAATGTTAGTCTTTAGGGGTTACTTGATGTCACAATACTTTTTTTTTTTTTTTACCAGCAAGAGTAGAAGGAGGGACTGGATATTCCTGAGTTGCTTTTTCGTCTGTCTGCCATATTGGATTTAACAAAAATGTTCTTGCACTTGCAGTGGATGGCCAGTAGTTGGCAGTGCATTGTATGATGCACTAGTGTGTACTTTAGTGGTCTCTGTGCATTTACAGCATAAAAATCCACAAGAAACACAAAAAGTGTATTCTGGATAGTTGTCCACTGCAGTGACCACCATGCATGAAAGGGTTAAATAAAAATTAAAATCATGTGAATAAGTTTGTTCACATGATAAGTCATTAAAAAACATGCGGTGCCGTCGTCCTCCAACCACTTCCAGTCATTTTCTTTTCTGATAACATCCGATTGTTGATCGTGACTTGTGTGATGCGAAAAACGTGTTTTCATTGCATGCAAGTGCAAAAACTTTTATCAAAAAAACAAGATTTTTTTTTAGAGATCTGGCTTTATGCAGTTATTTTTAACCCAAACCAACTTGTTGTCCACTTCATGTATTCTTATTTTTAAGAACACACAACATGCCATGTCAAGGTACAAGGACAGGACAGAAAGTGAGGGGAAAAGCTGCCAAAACAATCTTCTTCCCAACAACTCGTCTCAGAAAGTGCAGGACACGGCAACCGTGAGATGATTAACACAAAGGAAAACACAAAGTGACAGAACATAAAGGCGGTGCCAACAAGTGGAGGACAAAAAAAAAAGAAAAAACACTCGAGGCAAGTGCATCAAAGGTTTGAGAAACTACAAACTTTTTGACACTGCTGCCTTTGCAGCCAAGCTGGCAGTAAGGATGTCTGTGACAGTCGTCACAGTGACATGATGAGGCCGACACTCAGCAGAGATGAGGCCAAGAGGCATCAAACACCAAACAGGACAGCAGTATTCCCCAGAGCGAGAAGCAGCTCAAACCAAACAAACCACAGGAGATACACCGACTCTTCTGGATGACGAAGAGTTCTTGGGTTAATTAGTTTTTTTGGAGAGGTGACAAACATCCACCATGTTAATTCTGGAACAGGAAAAGGATGACTGATTTTGTTTTTACATGCTGCAATCAAAATAAAGGTCATAATTCTGTTCTTTGGCTTTACCAAATGGAGAAATCTCTGGCTGGTTTACCACAGCTTATCTAAATGATCAGTCCAACGATTCAGGCAGAGGACACGTTTACCATCATGCTAATATTATTTTTTACTCTTTATGTAGGAATCAACAGTCATTCAGTCTCATTTTTATTTATTTTTTAATGCAGCGTCTTATAAACTCTTTAAAAACCCTTCAATTCCTCACATTTCTTCATGCTACAACCTCAAACTTTAATATATTTTATTGGGATCGATTGGAAATACTT